TTTTTTCACTTTTTTATCTTAAAACTTTCATAACTTTTTGAAAAATCAACAAATCAACATAATTTTTTTTTATACTAAAACCTTAAATATCTACCTTTCATTTGATATCATTTTTTTGAAAATCTATCACTTAACCTGCTCATTGGGGGGGATTTAAAATGGCAAATTTTTTACAAAAATTAACTTTTTCAACTTAATTTTTGAAAATGTTCCGGAAATACTGCGTCCTTCAAACATATATCAAATTAAAGCTTATTTTATGTACTATAAAATAAAAAAAAAAAATTTGTCCCGACACTTTTTCTTCTACATTTAAACGGCTGCCGTAGTTAAAAAAACGCTATTTTTGCGTTAAAATTTTCGATTTTCGATTTTTAATTTTCAACTTAAAAATGCTATAACTTTTTGAAAAATGTATATATCAGCACAAATTTTTTTTTTCTAAATACATTATAAGTACATCTTTCATTTGACATACTTTTTATTAAAATTGGACAATTTCCCCTTATATAGGGGGCGTTCAAAACTTAAAATATTGTAAAAAACATAGATCTTTTTCAACTGAACTTTTGAAAATGTTCCGGAAATACTGCGTCCTTTAAACATATATCAAATCAAAGGTTATGTTATATACTATCAAATGAAAAAAAAAAATTTGTCCCGACATCTTATCTTCTATGTGCAAATGGCTGTCGAAAATTTAAAAAAAAATGTAATGTTTGCGATAAAAATTACATTTTATCGGGATGTTTTTTGTACTTAAAACTGCCATAACTTTTTCAAAAATGAACAAATAAAAATAATATTTTTTTGTATTGAAACCTTAGATATTTCCCTTTCATTTGATATAATTTTTTTTGAAAATCTAACACTTATTCTGCTCACTGGGAGGATTTAAAATAGTAACTTTTTTACAAAAAATAACTTTTTCAACTTAATTTTTGAAAATGTTCCGGAAATACTGCGTCCTTTAAACATATATAAAATTAAAGCTTATTTTATGTACTACAAAATGAAAAAAAAAAATTTGTCCCGACGATCTATCTTCTATACGCAAATGGCTACCATATTGAAAAATATACTATTTTTGTATGATAATTATGGGTTTTGTATTTTATTTTAATAGAAGTTGATGTTGCTTTTGCAATTATCCATCAATTTTTTAAAATTAAACACTATCTACAGATTTGCATCGAAGCGTTTCTTATGATAGTGATTTTAATCACTGTCAGATTAAATCTATACTGAACCCAACTATGCAATGTCTCCACTATGCCGCGACCCCACTGTGCTACCGTTTTTTATTTATTTTTTTATTTGTAAGATAACACCCTCGAAGGGCAATGTAGTACAGGCAGTAATATAATAATATAAATACAATTTTAAAAAATTAACAATATACAGTGATACATTTATAAAATTAAGGTGAACAATAATTAGATATTAAGTATAAAAATAATATAAATTAGAAGTAATGAATTATTATGAATATAACATTAAATATTTGTGTTAGAATGATTATTATTAGTTATTACACATTTTAATTTGTTAGGACAATCATTAAAAAAATCAAAGTTGGAAATATTATTACAAGACATTAACATACGGTTTAATGGGCTATATTTAATGAAATTATTTTTCCCTAGAATAGTAAAAAATAATTGTTGAGATCGGGTATTATAAGCTGGTATTTTAAAACAAATTTGTTCAAGTAGCTCTGGGCAGATAATTTTATTATTTAATAGTTTGTATATAAATGTTAAATCAATAAATAGACGTCTTGATTCTAAGGTTGGGATTTGACATTTGATTNAAAAACAATAAATAGACGTCTTGATTCTAAGGTTGAGATTTGACATTTGATTGCAACATCATTGATTGATTTACCTACCATACCTATTTTGTGGGCTATCATTCGAAAGAAGCGTCTTTGAATTTTTTCTATGTTATTTTTGTGGCCGGCTTGAGTTGGGTTCCAAATAATAGAGCCGAATTCAAGTGTAGATCTAACAAGAGCTGTGTATAAGGTAATTAAACAATTGGGGTCGTTAAATTCAGAGCAATTTCTCTTTATAAATCCTAAATTTCGAATAGCTTTATTATATATTATGTTAATGTGTTCAGAAAAATTTAGATCATCTGACATTATTACACCTAAATCTCGAATATGGGAAACTTTTTGTAGTTTGTAATCACCAATATTATATTCAGAAGGTATTCTTACTTTGCGACGACAAAATGAAATAAATGAGCATTTAGAACTATTTATCTCTAAGCCATTTAATGAACACCATTGAAATAGACTATTCAAGTCAATTTGTAAATGATTTATGTCATCTATAGAATTAATAGTGGTATATAATTTTAAATCATCTGCAAATAATAAGAACTTACAATATTTAAATATTGGGAAAATATCGTTTATAAAAATCAAAAATAACAAGGGAGACAAATGACCCCCTTGGGGTACTCCAGATGATACAATAAATTCATTGGAAATTTTATTATTAATTTTTACCATTTGAGTTCGATCAGTAAGATAAGAAGATAGCCATGATAAAATTGGATCACCAAAGCCAAAGTCGGATAGTTTTTTTATAAGAATTGAGTGGTCAACCGTATCAAATGCTTTTTTTATATCTGTATATATTACGTCTACTTGACCACTAAAGCCAACTGTGTTAGCTAAAAAGTTGAAAAATGTTAATAAATTTGTATCAATTGATTTATTTTTGCGAAATCCATGTTGTTCATTTATTAAAGTGTTTTTCAATATATCTGATAGTTTGGGCTCAATGAGTTTTTCAAAAAGTTTAGGTAGAACACTTAACTTAGAAATAGGTTGTTGATAATCGATCGATCTCCGGTTTTCCAAATTGGTAATACATAACTAGATTTCCATGAATTTGGGAAAACGCCTGTTTTTAGAGATAAAGAGAATAGTTTGTGTACTGGGTAAGCTAATGAATAACGACATAAATTTAAAAACAAAGCAGGGATAGAATCAGGGCCAGATGTTGCGTCTAGTTTTAGTTGTGATAATCCATCAAACACATCACTAACGGAAAGTGAACAATAATTAATATCTACTAAATTAATTCTGTTCGATGAGATGTTTTGATTAATAACAGTATTGTTTTTATTATAAACTAATGAGAAGTAAGATCTAAATATGTTTTCGATTGATAAGCTATTATCAGGCACTGTATTATTATAATGCATCACGTTAGGAATAGTGTTGTCAGATTTGAATTGTTTTATATAGCTCCAAAAATATTTCGGATTGAGAGATAATTGATTTTGTGTGTAGATTAGATGATTACGGTAACATTCTTTCATTAGTAATTTACATTTCCTTCTGGCATCGGAAAATAATCGATAGTCATTTNCTTCTAGCATTGGAAAATAATCGATAGTCATTTGGATCATTTGAAGTTTTAAATTTTACGTGAAGAGATTTTTTGAAAAAATACATTGTTTTAGTTCGGTATTAAACCATATAGGAAATTTTTTATTTGTAAATTTAGGGTCATGTTTATTTATAATTTCATATAGTATATTGTAAAATGAATTTATATTTTTATTTATGCATTTTTTGTTTAATAGGTAATCCCAGTTAATTTTGTTTAATTCATAACAAATTAACGAATAGTTAGCTATCTTAAAATTAAAGCCAGTGGTATGGGTAGAATTAATATTTACATTAGAACTGTTTAATTCGAAGACTGTTTTTAAAGCTGGATGGTAATTATCAATTGGGACTAAGATGTCGTTAGTTATAGTTACTGTGGCGTTAGAAATATTACTAAAAATCAGATCTAAAAGTGATCCAGAGTTATTGAAGTTGTTGTTATATTGACGAAAATCATTTAATTGGCAACAATCAAAAATTACATCGGCTTTATCGGAATGTACTCCATTAAATACTAGGCCATCACTATCATTACTGAACGTAACATTCGGTAAATTATAGTCACCTGCAAGAATAACTTTTACATTAGGGCTATTAGATAAGATTTCTTCAATTGCTTCAACGTGTTTATTATAGGTAGATAACGGGCTGTTTGGAGGAATGTAACAAGATCCCATTATTAGGTTAAGAGTATGGTTTAGTTTTAATTGAATGAAGACATGTTCGATATCGGATAGTGTATTAGACAATCTACTTGTAACAAATTTATTTTTTCTTATACCAATTAAAACGCCGCCACCTCTTAGATGTGTACTAGTAATAATTACTATAATTATTATTATAATTATTATAACTTGATATTAGTAGTTATATGATTTATAAGTATAATATATGTTCCGGAAGGTCTGACACTTTTATATATATCTTAAATTAAAGCTAATGTAATATTCTTTATTATGCAAAAAAAAAATTTCGGACTTTATTTTATCTTCACGGTGAAAATGGCTACCGAATGCTATTTTTGTGTGAAAATTTTCGATTTTGTATTTTACATTTTTAACTTTATTATGCTATAACTTTTTGAAAAATGTATGGATCAGTACAATTTTTTCATGAGGAGTAGTATTTATATACATCTTTCATTTGACATACTGTTTTTTTAAATCGGACCATTTCCCTATATACGAGGGGGGTTCAAATCTAAAAAATGCATGTAGAAAGTAGAACTTTTTCAACTTAAATTTTGAAAGTGTTCCGGAAAGTCTGACACTTTTATATATATCTTAAATTAAAGCTAATGTAATATACTTTATTATGCAAAAAAAAAATTTCGGACTTTATTTTATCTTCATGGTGAAAATGGCTACCAAATGCTATTTTTGTGTGAAAATTTTCGATTTTGTATTTTCCATTTTTAACTTTATTATGCTATAACTTTTTGAAAAATGTATGGATCAGTACAATTTTTTCATGAGGAGTAGTATTTATATACATCTTTCATTTGACATACTGTTTTTTTAAATCCGACCATTTCCCTATATACGAGGGGGGTTCAAATCTAAAAAAATGCATGTATAAAGTAGAACTTTTTCAACTTAAATTTTGAAAATGTTCCGGAAAGTCTGACACTTTTATATATATCTTAAATTAAAGCTAATGTAATTTACTTTATTATGCGAAAAAAAAATTTCGGACTTTATTTTATCTTCACGGTGAAAATGGCTACCGAATGCTATTATTGTGTGAAAATTCTCGATTTTATTTTTTACATTTTTAACTTTATAATGCTATGACATATTGAAAAGTGTATGGATCAACATTATTTTTTTATGAGAAATAATATTTTTTAATAATCACTTTTTCATTCGACATACTTTATCTTAATTAAGATATTAATAATGAACTAGCAGATCATGTAGCTTTTGGAATAGTCCACCAATTTTTTAAAATTAAACAGTATCTAAAGATTTGCATCGAAGCGTTTTTTTTTTAAAGTCGAAAAGGTAATTTTTAAATTTGAGTTAGCTAAATAGCCAATTTTTTAGCTTCGATGCGAATTTTTTATATGTAAATACTAATTTTTAATAATATTAAAACTTAGAAGTGATAGAAAAAGTCTAATTGCAGATTTGAAAACATCGCGAAAAGTTGATTTAAAATGGTATATTTTTGTTACTGATGAGATTTCCTAATAGTTCAGTGCATTTATTTATAGTAACAAACAGTTTTTATTGAAATATATTGTATCAAGCCCTTTAAATTTTTATACACGTAAAAATAAAGCAAAATACAACTTCTTTATTATTTTTATAATTTCTCCGTTTAAATTACAATATTAAATTATTGAATATCAATTTCAACTAAATTTAATAATTGTAATTAGTATTTATTTATATATTATATTTTAAAATCAAAGAACTACTAATTAGGATATAATCAAAGAAATAAGAGTTGATGTTGCTTTTGGAATAATCCACCAATTTCTCTAAATGAAACACTATCTACANTAATTTCTCTAAATGAAACACGATCTACAGATTTGCATCGAAGCGTTTCTTATGATAGTGATTTTAATCACTGTCAAATATCATCTATACTTGTTCCATCTATGGCTTGTCTACACTATGCCTCGACCCCACTGTTCTACCGTTTTTTTTTTTTTAAATAGTTCCAATTTTTTAAAATTAATCTATTATTAGTATACATTGTTCAATTATTTTAAATTATTTAATTTTAAGTTTCAATTAATTTAAATTATAAAAATACACGTAGTGTAAATCGGTATGTTCCACTGATACCGATGGTTGGTCCATACCAAGCAGAATGTTCTATTTTCACACAAATAGCCCAATGTCATCAAACTACCTCCTAATTATTTTTATAAATAGTATAGAATAGTTTCTTAATTGAATATACTCATTTAAAACTATTTAACTTATCTCGTTTTTACCTACCAAGTGAAAAATAGATTTTACAAATACTATAAAAGTAATATTTTAATACTTACATAGCATTCATTGGTATTTGTAGTATTTTCTTCATTACTCTTAGTAACATTAAATTTGTTCATTATTAAATTTTATCTTGTAAAAGATATTATTAAATAATAGTTTTAAACAAGAAATAATATGAAAAATTACCTTTATTTGTTTATTAATAAATAACTAGATAAAACGTATATATATATAATTTCTATTTAGCCACAGTAATAATGCATTTATTAAACGCGTTGTTCTGAAAGATAAACTCAATAACTAAAAATTAAAAGAAAACAAACATATTCGTATATATATAATATGATGTTATCATTAGAACTGTGAAAATTTTCGCCACTATCAATAATCAATACTAGATACAAAAAAACATTTGAAAATTTGACATCATAACTCATGATTGATAGATTAACTCAAGGGATTATTTCTCCGAATGAGTCAACTGAAAGTTGTGCTCTTGCAGTAGAAAAAGTACAGAAAAAATAATAGCACAGTGGGGTCGCGACACAGTGTGAGCGTGGCATAGTTGGGACTAGTATACGAGGTGTGTTCAAAAAGTAAGGTGACCTGATATTTATATGAAAAACTATTTATTTATTCATCAATGTTTATATTGTCCCCTTCAAAGTAATCCCCCTCGGATGTAATACACTTGTGCCAACGCTTTTTCCAATCTTCAAAACACTTCTGATAAGCACCTTTTGGTATAGCCTTGAGCCTTCAGCGATGCAGTTTTTATCTCCTCTTGGCTCTCCTGGGCTCTTCCATTGGGACGATTGAACTTTGGTTTCAATGTCATAACCATATACCCATGATTCGTCACCAGTTATGACCCTTTTAAGCAAATCAGGATCATCATTGACGTCATTCAACAGCTCCAGAGCGATGCTCATGCGACGATTCTTCTGGTCAAAATTAAGCAGTTTCGGAACAATCTTCGCTGACACACGTCTCATGCCCAAAATATCCGAAAAAACTTCATGGCACGAGCCAACCGATATGCCAACATCCTCAGCAACTTCTCTGATAGTGATTCGTCGATTTTCCAAAACAATTTTCTTCACTGCTTTAACGTTTTCATCTGTTGTTGACGTGCTGGGGCGTCCAGAGCGAGGTTCGTCATTGGCATCTTCTCGGCCATCTTGGAAAAGCTTGCACCACTTATAAACGTTTTTTTTACTCAGAGCGGACTCACCGTATGCCACTGTCAACATTTCAAGTGTTTTAGAACACTTAATTCCATTTTTGACACAAAATTTGATGCAAATTCTTTGATCCATTTTTTTTGATAGCAGAAAATCGCCGAGCACACCAAAATACGTCTAATCTTTGTATCTGTCAAAAACAAACTAAATATGATATATACTTGAAACTGTGTACAGATGTTCGGTACGAGTGTACCAACATGACATAAAAAAAAATCTAATCATCGAACGGACGTAGCCCGCGAAATTTGAAAAGTCACCTTACTTTTTGAACACACCTCGTAGATGATATCTGACAGTGATTAAAATCACTATCATATGAAACGGTTCGATGCAAATCTGTAGATCGTGTGTAATTTTAAGAAATTGGTGGATTATTCAAATGCAAAATTCTAACTTAAAAAGAATTAAGGAAAAATTGTAAAAAAATCATTGCCACAGCAATCAAATTTTAAATAAGTCAGCTGATCGTGATATGGTGCGAGAAAATTAATTTCTAGTAAAAATCTAGTAAAATGTTTGTAGGCTGAAGTGGTTAGTACAATTGTTTATATATTAAATCGTACAGGTAAATCGAGCCATGGGATAAATAACTTACGAATTATAGTTCGATAAAACTCCACATATTAACTATTTAAAAATATTTGATAGTTAAATAGAAACGACAAAAATGGGATAAAAATGGTAGAAAATGTATAATTGTTGGATACTTTGAAGAGATGAAAGGTTATCGTATATGCTATGATCACAGAGAAGTATCCGTTAGCAAAGACGTAGTGTTTAAAGAAGATACAATTACGCAACAAGTAGTTACTGAAATAAAAATAAATGACGAAGAAAATGTCAAGAGGAAAATGATTTTGTTGAAAAGAATATTTAAGAACAAAGTGATATAGATGAGGAAACTCAATCAATAAAAGAAATCTAAGAAACATATAAAATGAAACTGAGAGATAGACAAAATATAAGAAAACCACTCCAAGTACAAAGTAAAAACATATTATTTGAGATCTATTAGTCCAACAACGTATAAAGATGATTTGTCAATGGAATGTTCGGAAAGTTAGAGAAAAGCAATGGACGAAGAAATGTAGTTGAAGAAAAATAATACCTGGAAATTAATTAATTTACCAGAGAAAAAAAAAGCAATTAATAACTTGATTTTACCGTACTAAATACAAGGAAAATGGTGAAATAGGCAGGTATAAAGCTAGAAATGATGTAAAAGGTTGTGCAGAAGTTTACGGGATAGAAATATTTAGCTCAGTTGTTAAGTATAAATTAGTACGAATTTAATAAGCAATTGCAGCAGCAAAACAATTAAAGCATAGTAGCTTAGACAGTTTGACATAAAAACAGTATTTTTGTACGTAGATCTAGAAGAAGGAAACATGTTTCAACCTAAAGGATATGAAGAGGGAAAAAGTCTGTCAATTTCAGTCTTGGTTTAAAGCAGGCGCCAAGATGCTGCAATAAAAAGTTTAAAACTATGTTATTAAACTTTTACTTGCAAGAATCAAAAGCCGATTCATGTGTATTTGTAAGTAGTAAAATAAAGATTTATTAATTATGGCTATTTTTGTAAACGATGGACTAGTGGTAGCAACAAGTAACGACTTAGTGAAAAAATTGATGACATACTGAAAGGATATTTTCGAGACGAAAGAGAGTAAGTTAGAACAATTCCTTGGTATTGAGATTGATTAAGACCAGACGGGTCGATTTTTATACACCAAATATTTTACTGTAAGCGAGTATTACAGAAATTCAACATCAGCGCAATAAGATTAATAAAGAACCAGAGTTCTATAGGAGGACTAAACACATAGAAGTAAAATATCATTTGTCATAAATACACTGAAGGTTTGTTTGTGTTAGAGTATGTATGCAGTAAAGAACAGCTAGCAGATATTATGACAAAGCCGTTGTCAAGGATTCATTTCCAATACCTCAGGTCAAAAACGGGAATAATTAAATTGAATTAATATTGTAAACAAAAAATAAATCTTGTACATTGTAATTTTAGAGTAATTGTTTTTTTCGGAACTCTAGCGTAACGGTCAGTGGTATTGTCGTTACATTGTCATTACCGTATTGTGTTAAAATTGTTATTTAATACTTTTACTGAATTATATTGTGGTAAATTTTTTTTTTGACAGTAGTTAAATACTATTTTTTAACTCCTTCCTTTAATGATTCTTTGAAGTCATACTTAATTATTGGAGTTAGACTTAGTAATAAAGTTATTTCTAAAATGGTGATCTCGTATTATCAACTAATTTTCCATCTTCTGGACTTTTTTGTGTTACTATTAAATTTTGTTTCGTTTTGCAGTTTTGTTTTTCCTAAGTATACTATATGAGATGCCTTGTCAATACACAACAAAAATTATTTCCGCTGACAGTGGCCATTCCGCCGAAGGCATCTCCGGATACTGACGTAGAATTGGCCGCCATACTGTCCGTTTACTTAGGTTTTTGCATCATTCACTCAAACAATCTTTTCAAATCACATCTGACGGAACTAATAACGTGCTCGGACGTAGATGGAATTTGCACAATTGTGAACATATTCAGTGCGGAAGCTCAATATAAAATCAGATCAAGGACTTATTGTTGCTTGCGTTTCACAAGCAACACGTTACTGCTTCATCGTACATCCAGCGGGTTAGGCGACCGCTGTCCGTTGCAGTTGTAACATGTTTAGCATCCTACCTGAAGGAATAGGGGACGTGGTTTTCAACGAATTTTAATTACGGATGTTATCATATTCAATTGTCACCGCCATCGCAGGTCAGGATTACATATAAAAATTAAATATAGATTTTGTGTAATGAATTCGTATTATTTAAGAGGACGCCATGCGGGAAAACGAAACAACGATATGACCGAGAGAATGCGCTTTTAGATGTTTAACAACCGAACTCTTCAATCACCCCCTGTCATTCAATCCATATACCATGCGCACACCTGTATGGCCGCCTAATATTATTTTGGAGCAGCACATCATTCTATTATTGACTGTTATGCTATGCGTTACATATTATTTTCATTGATAAAGGCGATAAAGCTCTCATAATATAAAACAAAATGAATATGTAATTATAATAAAATATCATAAGATTATAATATAATATTATTTCAAATGCTACCGCTTATTAAACGTTAAAGTGTTGCGAGTATCACATTTGTAGTTAATAATTTATTCACAACTCTGAAAAAATTAATTTTATAGATAATTTTATGTAATTTATTGTTACATGAAATCTATAATAATAATATCTAGTTATATGTATGTAGTTATTACTTAGTTAAGTTTAAAACATTGTATATAATTAAAATTGTTGGGGAACTAATTATTTAAATTTTTACTGGTTGTAAATCGATTCTTTTCGACCGAAAATAGAAAATAAAAGTTTTTTTATATCTTTTAATGCATCGTTACTATCCATGACACAATCACCTTTGATTTACAGTTATCTGTTAGTATTTAGTGTAGTGCGGTTTTGCCTTGCAAATAGTCGGTAGAGTCGAGGGAAAAAGAAGAAAAAAATTAATTAAACAAATTTTTAATTATTTTATATAGTTTTAGCTTCGATACGAAGCTGAGAAGGTATTAATTTTAACTATGATGTGTTTATTTTATTATTTTTTTTTTTGTGCCTGTTGCCACTTTTTCTCAGCTCTCACTGGACCGATTTCTTTCAACAATACGTCAAAAGATCACAAATCGTATCTAGTTGAAGACATTACCCTTAAAAATTGAAAAAAATTCCCTCGTTCCCCGCAAATGGGGGAAATATCCAAAAAAATTACAAATTTAAAAATCGGTAATTTTCGAAATTTTTTCACTTTTTTTTCTTAAAACTTCCATAACNTTTTGTCATTTCTTTCACTTTTTTTTATTAAAACTTCCATAACTTTTTCAAAAATAAACAAATCAAAATAATTTTGAAATGAAAAAAAAAATTTGTCCCGACATCTTATCTTCTATGTGAAAATAGCTGTCGAAAATTAAAAAAAAATGTAATGTTTGCGATTAAAATTATCTTTTATCAGGGTGGTTTTTTGTACTTAAAACTGTCATAACTTTTTCAAAAATGAACAAATAAAAATATTATTTTTTTGTATTGAAATCTTAGATATTTCCCTTTCATTAGATATAATTTTTTTTTTCACTTTTTTTTCTTAAAAATTCCATAACTTTTTTAAAAATCAACGGCTGCCGTAGTTAAAAAAACACTATTTTTGTGTTAAAATTTTCGATTTTGGATTTTAAATTTTCAACTTAAAAATGCTATAACTTTTTGAAAAATGTATATATCAGCACAAATTTTTTTTTTCTAAATACATTATAAGTACATCTTTCATTTGACATACTTTTTATTAAAATTGGACAATTTCCCCTTATATAGGGGGCGTTCAAAACTTAAAATATTGTAAAAAACATAGATCTTTTTCAACTGAACTTTTGAAAATGTTCCGGAAATACTGCGTCCTTTAAACATATATCAAATCAAAGGTTATGTTATATACTATCAAATGAAAAAAAAAAATTTGTCCCGACATCTTATCTTCTATGTGCAAATGGCTGTCGAAAATTTAAAAAAAAATGTAATGTTTGCGATAAAAATGACCTTTTATCGGGATGTTTTTTGTACTTAAAACTGCCATAACTTTTTCAAAAATGAACAAATAAAAATAATATTTTTTTGTATTGAAACCTTAGATATTTCCCTTTCATTTGATATAATTTTTTTTGAAAATCTAACACTTATTCTGCTCACTGGGGGGATTTAAAATAGTAACTTTTTTACAAAAAATAACTTTTTCAACTTAATTTTTGAAAATGTTCCGGAAATACTGCGTCCTTTAAACATATATCAAATTAATGCTTATTTTATGTACTACAAAATGAAAAAAAAAATTTGTCCCGAGACCTATCTTCTATGCGCAAATGGCTACCATATTCAAAAATATGCTATTTTAACAAATTTTTTTTTTTAATTAAACACTATTTNTTTGTCCCGAGACCTATATTCTATGCGCAAATGGCTACCATATTCAAAAATATGC